CCCCAAAACCCCAAAACCCCAAAACCCCAAAACCCCTCATTTATTAAATCGAAGGATCAATGAGGATATATTTGAAAATTATAAATATATTAATACGAATGGTAGGCTTAATGATTTTTACTTAAGACAGAGTATTCTACTATAACTCCTTAAAACTTTATACATTCATAATTTTGAGGTGACAGGGGTGCGAGTGAAATTTCAAAAGATTGCACAATATTCCTAGCAGCCTCTATAGTAGCTTTTGTTGCTGTCAGACTAGCTATTCTCAAAGCGCTACTCTTCTTCTTTCAACTTCTTCTCGAGCTTGACTCTATATTTTATTTTCTCATATCTTTTACTTTCCATGTCAATTGTTTTTAAAGCATTACTCTTTGGTGTAACGTTTCTTTTTTCTGCAGCAATAAGCTTAATGTCCCTAACTTACTCATTTATCTCTGGTCTTTACTCATCAGCAGTAAAATCATCTTATCCATAGTCAGTATAAACAGCAGCAGATATCCTCTTGCTCGTAAATCTTTTTCTTGCCTATTTCTGGGCAGAGGGCTCCTGAATGACAACCATGCTTTTGTTGCAATCACTAAACTCAAAGGACATTTCTGGACATGGTTTGCTCATTCCTCCATATTCCTTATCCTCCTCTGTTACTGATTGCTTACAGTTAGTGCTTGATTCTTGAGTTTGAAGTGTCGAAAGAAAACTCTTTTGCTACCTTAGAAAACTATCCTTAGGTTGCTGCAGTTTCGATAAATCCAAATTAAACTTATTTGAAGGACGCTTATCCATGACTGACTTGGTGTACTTCAGTCTGTTGTTATGCTAAATCGAGTTTATCATATCCTGGAGATTCTTCAACTCAGTGTCAAGTCACTTTGTGCTGAAATCTTTTCTGCTAGGCATGACTATCATTTTGTTATCCACTCTAATCACCCCTCTTTTAAAATAAATTAGCGACTTTTATAATTAATAATCTTACTAATTATTGCCCGCTTATTGCTACAGGGGCTATTCATGACTTTAAGCACTTGCTGGAGAGATTAGCATGTTCAGCGTCTTTCTCTTTTTGGGTGATTTTTTAAGCTCATATATGTCCTCAGCTCTGTTCATCTCAGTATTGAAATACTTAATAATTCCTATGTTTCCTTCACTCTCTAATTCCTCAGCATATTTATGGGCATGATCAGTCAACTCCCTTATCTCTACTTCACATTTCCCCAATAACTACAAATTTGCATTATTTTTATATGATAAGACTAAGTATTTCCTCTATCTTACCTAGAATGTTTCTTTTTGTGAGAAGCACTAGCTCTTAAAGCGAATAATCATCTTCAATAATTTTGCTCTGATTTGAAAGAATGTGCTCAAATTCTATGACAAGGATAGGTTAAGAATTAAGAAAGAATTGCTGTGGAAAAATTCTTACGATCTTGAACTGAAAAACAAAATCTCTCGCCTCTTAGAGCTCCTCTATTATCTCTTTTAGCTGATTAATGCGGTCATTTACCTCATCCAGATCTACATCCTCCATTTAATTCAAAGTTGGCCTTGTTTTTAGAGATTATTTTCAAGCTGGGTTGAGGGGAGGCCTGATATGCTTGATGGCTTTTTAGGAAAGAATTGAAGTCATTTTATTGGGAATTTATTACAAGTCTAGTGGAATTATCAAGATTTAAAATTTATTTTCAACGTGATACTTTAAATTTTATAATCAGCATTAAGCCAACATTCCTCAGAATTTATTAATATGTATATTTCAATTTATTATTATCTTTTTGCAAGGGGTTTTGGGGTTTTGGGGTTTTGGGG